GGAGTGCCGGTAACTGAGTTTCTCTCAAAGAGTGCAGGAGGGTATGGTGGTTTCCTTGACACCCCTTTTCATTACACCTGCCACGGTTCCTACAAGCGGCCGCATGATGTGAGCAGTTCAAGCAGATAAAACACGCACCATGCTTATTGGCTGCTTCCCAACGGTCCGGAATTCCAAGATGCACAAATTTATCGCACTTAGATAACTCGTGATTCAAACAACACATAAGGCATCTGGGTGTACTACGTTCCCCCACGGTTGCATAGCCATTTGCTTTTCTAGAACCTTTCGCGATCTCGTGGTTTCATTCCTTAACGTGATGTCTCTCTTCTCGCCTGCTCATATTGGCCAGTAGTCCGAAACGGCTGCTGGGAACCTTGGCACGATCTCGGATGAATTCCGTCAACTCGGTGAAATTGGGCTCTCTCCCTAAACGGCCAATTATCACAGCCTCCTCAGCCCATCGCTGTTGAATCTCAGCCCGCAGGCATCTGAACAGAAACTCCATTAGTACAACGATTCAGCTTCAAAGCTGTATCTGTGAAATACATTCCATCTTGGTACATACCCCTAGAAATATCATGACCAATTATTCACTTGCACAACTATTAATCACCACGTTTCGCTCGAGTCATTTGACTCAACTTCGTGGCACATGCGAACTATTATTATTATTATTATTATTGAAGAATGCGTCATGCTACCTAACGAACTGGGGTGCATCCGAGCGAGGGATATTCTAAAGGAATTGTTCGGCCAACCTTTCCATGTGGCACGGACACTCATAGATCGGGTGCTGGCCGAGGCACGCAAAGCAAGGAACGAACCCGAGTCGTTGGTGCGACTGGCAATGAAAATGCAGAACTACTTTATTGCCTTGACTCAAATGAGTTACGAAGCAGATTTGAATGCATTACACACCCTAGAAGCGATAGTGAGATAATAATAATAATGTATATTTCACGAAACCCGTGAAGCATGCACAAGGCATGATCATATGTTCAATGTAATCATATGTACAACGACAGAACAGGTAAATGGATAAACTACTTGGGAGACATACATACTAGAGATGGTATGGGAGCGGAACGAAAACGCTGCGTAAACGGAACACAAAGCGGACAGGGTCACAAACGATGGTGTGGAGGATGAAAAAATGAGCTGTATAAGCAAATCAATCTTAATCGAAGTCACTGTTAACCCGTTATCGAGGGGATTCGGCGTGCAGCTCTAATGGGAGAAGATACGGAGAGGCAAAATTTCGGACAATAGACGAGGAAAATGGAGTCACAAGGATATGAATAAATAGGAAGGACTACAGCGAGTTCATACGTTTACCTGGATGTGGACGCATGCAGAAAAATCCGTCGAAACAGCTATGCCCAGCATCCTCTGCCAGGGTCAGAAATTTTCATTGTGGGTTTAAACTCCAAGCCTTCGACAGGTCCAAG